TGTAGAATCGATTAATTTTATGGAAGAAAACCTTTCAATCAGCCATAGTCCGTAAACTTGACACGTGTCGGGCTGTGATTGGAACGACTTGTAAGAAATCGGATTCCTAATAAATTGGAACGTATCTATACGTTATAGGGGGGTCGACTGTATATAATTATAATAAAGTTACAATAAATTAAGTTAATATATAATTATATATACAGTACCTAATTTATATATAATTAATATATAATTATATGTACAGTACCTAATTTATATATAATTAATATATAATTATATGTACAGACGAAACTAAACTCAATTTACCCGCCTAAACGTCCATAGTGTGGCGCTACAGATGGCGGGAAAGTAGTTCAGCTGCCCGATGACATTTTACGTAATTATAGGAGTTATTTTACCATTGTGTACGGATAGTGCCACAATTTTTTCGCCGTCTTATAGGAATCGTAATTATAGTAACCAGTCTTATAGGGGGATCTACTGTATAATTATAAAATAGAATAGGTATACTTAATTTAGCTTCTAGAACTGATATAAACATAATGTACCAAAACTATTTGAATAAATATTAGTCACTGCTACTTTTAAATTAGCTTCGAGGTGAGTCTTTTAGCCGGTTTCTAGTTTTAATTTTTACTAAATTCATTGCAGGATAAACTACTCACACACATAAGTTGTAGAAAATAATATTTGAATTTTTGCTGCATACTTCTTAAGCTAGGAAATTTATATATTTATGTACATTTTATGCGACTCAGGCTGCGGAATGCCCATCCCTGACTTAGATTATGTCTACGACAACGAGTCGATCGCAACACATTTTTAAGATAAAAAGTAGATCTTATGTACACAAAAGTTGGTTGGTTGGTTGGTTTTGGTTTTTTGGCACAAGAGCCATATAGGCTAAGCTGCGCCATAACAAATGGTAAATGATTATAAACATCACAAATAACAAACATATGACAAAAACAAATAAATAAATAAATAAACAACAGCAACAAAAAAACAAATATATACATATTAATAACAAACAAGAACGAACAAAAAGCTAAAAGATAAATAAATAGATAATTAAATAGGTAAATAAATAAANAGACAAAAGCTGAGCCAACGTAATCATCAGATTTAGATCCATCTGTATAAATAGGAATTAAATTCCTGTCATGGTGTTGAATTTCTGCAAAGTGCTGCCTGTAGACATAATCTGGGGTGGATTCCTTTGGAAATTGCTTTAAGCTAAGGTCAACATTTATCACAGGAGTTGACCAATGAGATATATTAGACCTCTAGCTGTGAAATGTTGCCTGTATTCAGATCAATCGTGCTGCTCACATTCTCCATTCTTATGGCGAATGAAGGGACACTGCTTGGGTGAGCTTCAAATAACCTTTTCAGCTGAGTATCTAATACTGTACAATCAACTGAAGGTTTAGAGTAAGATTTCTGTTTTATATAGTAAAATAGAGACAACTGTTCTCTCCTGAGAGACAGTGGAAGCTCATAAGCATCCACATACAAACTTTGTACAGGGGAAGTTCGAAAAGCGCCAGTGCACAAACGTAGTGCTTGATAGCAAATTGGATCCAGCATCCGAAGAGTAGATTCTCGTACAGAGCTATAGACAATACATCCATAGTCCAGCTTAGAGCAGACAAGGGCCCTATAAATCCTGAGCATAGAAACTTTGTCTCCTCCCCAGGATGAGCAGCATAGTACCTTTAAAAGGTTTAGAGATTTTGAACATCTACTCTTCAAATTGGGCAAGTGTGGCAAAAATGTCAGTTTTGGGTCGAAATAAACACCCAAAAACTCATTCACCATTGGAATTTTATCGCCATTTAGGTGAATTTCAGGATCCGGGTGCAAACCACGCCTTCAGCAGAAGTGGATGCACGATGTCTTCGCTGCATTAAACGTAAACCCATTGGTCTTGGACCAATCATATATGCGATTTAGGGAAGTTTGAAGTGGTCTCTCAATGAAACTCATATCACTAGACTGACAGGAGATCTGAAAGTCATCTATATACAAAGAGTGTTTCACACTGGAAGGAGGACAGTTAGCTATGCTGTTAATTTTAATTAGGAACAGAGTCACACTCAAAATAGAACCTTGAGTGACACCTTCTTGTGTGAAGAGCCTTGATAAAGAATTGCCCATCCTGACTTGGAATCTTCAATTCTGTAATAAGTTTTTTATAAAAATTGGCAAATTACCCTGCAATCCAAATTGGTGTAGATCACAAAGTCTTCCGTAACGCCAGCAGCGATCATAGGCCTTCTCTATATCAAAAAACACAGACACTAAGTGCTGTCGTCGAACAAACGCTTCGCGTATAGATGTTTCATCAAAGTTTACCAGGTTATTAGTGGTACTTCTGTTCCTATGGAAACCACTCTGATGTAATGAAAAGTATTCCTTTTTCTCTAAGAGATACATTAGACGCCTGTTTACCATTTTCTCGAAAAGTTTACAGAGACAACTTGTCAGAGAAATTGGTCTGTAATTAGAGAGATTCTTGCAATCTTTACCTGGCTTGGGAATGGGAATAATGATAGATAGCCTCCAAGAGTTGGGAAAAGTATGTTCTGTCCATATTCTGTTAAACAGATGCAAGAGATTAGAAAGGGAATTGTTTGACAGATTTTTAATCATGCTGTAGTGGATTTTATCCAAGCCTACAGCACTATTCCCCGAGCGAGGGATTGCTGTATGTAATTCAATTCTAGTGAATGGCACATTATATTCCTCATTAGATGAGGAGTAAAAGTTTAAACACAGGTTTTCTCTTTGGGCTTTATAAGCTTGAAAATTTCTTGAATACACAATATTGCTGGATGAAGCAAAAAATGTTTCACACAAGAAATCAGCAATACCCTGTATATCGCTGATTATTGTGCCATTATTTTACAGCATGGACAGAGAGAAAGAAGCATATTTCCCCTTAATTTTATGGATTTTATCCCAGACTGCTTTTGAGCTAGTGGAAGATGTTATGCTAGAAACATACTTCCTCCAAGAATCCCTTTGGCTTTGCCTTCTTATTCTTCTGGCATTTGCCTTCGCTTTTTTAAAAGCTATCAAATTTCTAGCAGTGGGGTATCTTCTAAAAATTCCCCATGCTTTCTTTTGTGCTTTAAATGCTGCCTCGCAATTCGGATTCCACCATGGTTTCGGATGCTTTGGATATCTAGTTGATGTTTTCCCATTGTTTTTTCCGCTGCCTGAAAAATAGTAGAAGTGACAACTTCAACTGCATCATTGATATCAGCAGTATTGGCCATTTCCTCAGTGATGTTAGCCATAGAGGAGAATGCAGGCCAATCTGCCGTTTCCAGTTTCCAGCGTGGTGGACGGGCTGTTTCACAGCTTTCTCTGCCTCGATATTTTAGAAATATTGGGAAGTGGTCACTAGAGAATGGATTAGATCCAACCTCCCATGTAAATGCTGAAAACAGAGTCGGAGTTGCTAATGATAGATCAATGGCAGTGAATGTTCTTGTTGGGGCATGGAAGTATGTCACTTCTCCTGTATTAAATAAATATAACTGCTGATTGCCTATGAACCTTTCAATGGTCCTGCCTCGACGGTTAATGTCGGGACTGCCCCACATTGGATTGTGACCATTGAAATCACCAAGTAAAACAAATGGAGTAGGCAACTGTTCAACCAAAGCATCCAATTCATCTTCGTTGACTCTGACATCTGGTGGCAAGTATATAGAACAAACCGTGACAGTTACTCCAATAGAAATTCTGACTGCCACAGCTTGCAGCTCTGTTGTTATTTGTACCGGCAAGGATGGGGTGCGGTTGGAAACCAGAATAGCCACACCACCACTTGCACGGTTGTGGCTATCATCATCCTTGCGGTAGAGATCAAATCCTTTTAAAGTAATTCCCTCTCTAGGTTTCAGATGAGTCTCCTGGAGTGCCACGCAGAGAGATGAGGTAGATGATGTCAAGTGTTTAATGTCAGAGAAGTTGTTGCGAAAACCACGACAGTTCCATTGGATTATTTTATAATCCATTATGTGTTTGAGGCAGCATTCTTAGAAAAAGTGTCCCTCTTCAGTTTAACTGATGATATTCCTTTTGGAGGTGACGTTGGTTGGGTTACCTCCATATTATTCTCTTCATCAGAGATATCAGAGAACTCACTCATGGACTGAGCCTCTGATTTTTTAGATTGACAGAGAGCTACTTTCACTCTCTGTTTGTTTAGTGGGTTCTTATTAGCCTTTTTAGAACCCAGGTTTCTTGTAATTACCCCTGTTTTAGGCAGGGGTGTTTTTCCTTTTGTGATCTCCTTTTCTGGTGTTTGTGTAGACGGGAGTATTAAACATTTCGCATGGCGAGTANGTGACAGTTATGCCAATTGAAATTTTGACTGCCACAGCTTGCAAATCAGTGGTTATTTGTATCGGTAAGGATGGGATTTGGTTTGAAACCAGGATAGCCACACCCCCACTGGCACAATTGTGGCTATCATCATCCTTGCGATAGAGATTGAATCCTTTTAAAAAAATATTTTCTGCAGGTTTTAGATGGGTTTCCTGGAGTGCCACACAGAGAGATGAGGTAGATGATGTCAAGTGTTTAATGTCAGAGAAGTTGTTGCAGAAACCACGACAGTTCCATTGGATTATTTTATAATCCATTGTGTTTGAGGAAGCATTCTTTGCGAGGGTATCCCTCTTTAATTTAACAGGCGATTTCTCTTTTGGAGGTGACTTTGGTTTTGAAACCTCCATATAAGGCTCTTCATCAGATATGTCAGAAAACTCACTCATAGATTCAGCTTCTGATTTTTTTGAGACTTTAGAGAGGGCTGCTTTCACTCTTTGTTTGTTAAGTGGGTTCCTACTGGCTTTTTTAAAACCCACATTTCTGGTTGTTACTCCCATTTTAGTTACAGAGGTTTTGGTCTTTGTGTTCTCCTTTTCTTCTGATTGTGCAGATGGAATCAATAAGCATTTTGCAGGCGAGTAAGAGATTCACTTGGGGATACAGAAATATCTGTTTGAACCCCACGTCTTGGTAGATTTCAACACAGCAGCAAAGGTTTTTTGTTTCGTTGGTGGACTTGGGGTGACCATACAACGGGCCTCTGTGTATGATATATTATTTATGGTTTTTAACCGTTGAACCTCTTTTTCTCTCTGCCATGCAGGGCATTTCCAAGAGTAGGAAGGATGGGCATCTCTACAGTTCACACAGCATGGGGTACTTTTACATTCAGTACTAACGTGGTCTTCAGTCCCACACTGTGCGCATACGCTTTTGCCTCGGCAGGATGTCTGTGAATGTCCAAACCACTGGCATTTGAAGCAACGCAGCGGATTTGGAACGTTGGGGCAGACAGGACAGAGCAGATAACCTGCAGTAATAAAAGATGACAATGTCAATTTGTTAAACGTTAAAATTAAGTGTTTAGTAGCAATTAACTTGCCATCTCGACGAATGGAGATGCGTCGAACGGCAGTTACACCTTGATCAGAAAGGCCTATCTGAATATCTGATTCATCTTCAGACATCAGATCGATCTCTGATATCACACCACGTGATGAGTTTAGACTTCCGTGTGGGGTGACAGTTACTTCTATATCTTCGAGTGCCTTAATTGCCTAAAGTTTTGCAGACTGTTGAGGTGAGGCTGTTTCTACGAGCAGATCTCCTGACCTCAATTTTTGTATTTTTTTCAAATTTCCAACTACAGATTCAAACAGCTTCTGGATCAGAAAAGGAGAACATTTTGGCAGAGGTGTTTGTCCAGTAGCATGGACTATGAAGCAGGTTGGCTAACTGGAAATGATTTGTTTCTTTAACCCCTTAAGCCCCAATCCCGAAATAACTCGGGCTGCGCGTGTAGCTGCGCAGTCCATATCCCGAGATATCTCGGGCAAGTATTAAATAATCGTTTCTAAACGTCCTATGCCTGATATATTACGGAAAAAGCTTATTTTGTATTCTATTGGATAAAAACAACTTATCAGCGTTCTTAGGGGACGGACGTGTGTTCATTTGCTCCGTCTTTTGTTCGCTTTTTCGACAATTCTACGTATTAGACGTAAGTTTTATTTTGTTTTTTATAGGGGTTGACTGGCGATTTTGTTCGCTACCGTTTTTTTTTTTTAATTTTCGAGTATTGTGATTATCGGTTTTCATGGTTTTTACCAGTGACCAGTTTTTTCAGTGTTTTTCGCGTAGCTAGTTGACTTTTGTGACTTGTTTTTACCTAATCTTATTTAGCATTAATCGACAGTCCGTAGGGTTTATAATTCGGCCGGTAATAAGGTTTATAATTCGGCTTGGTTAATTAATTATTTTGTATTACGTGTGTTTCCGACCAGCTTTCGGCCGGTTTTTTGGCTGTTATATTAGGCCACCGGGATCCATTTTTGAGTATTTTACGGACTACCTTGGACTAAGTTCAATATTTTAATTATATATATTTTCTTTCATTTTTATTCGAGATATCTTGGTTTGAAATTTCACCAAGAACAAAGGCCTTTGTCTTCGGCACGTGGTTTAACGGCCATTCTATTTGACCTCATTTCACTCGATCGTAGTTTCGTTTCTCGCTTTGTTATCGCACGCTTTATTAAGTGTGATTTTTCGATTAAATTGTTATTTTGTCATAATTGTTTACAAATTTAATCGATGGAGACTACAAATTTACTGTTGGCGCCCGTTTTGGNATTATACTAAACAGGGGTTCCATTTAGCATTTATGCACTTTTAAACTGTCACATTGTTGAAATTTGCTCTCTAGAGGCAAATTTTGCTTGGGGCTGCGCAGCCCCCGCGATACCAGTAATGATTTTAAAATTTACGAAACCAGTTAAGGGTTACGAAAACTTAACAATATTGTAAAAAATTTATTTAATAATACAAACAGTGTACAGTAGACCCCCCTATAACCCGAGTTCATATAATGCGAATTCGTATATCGCGGCAAAAAAATTGCGACCGTATTCGTATAAAGACGCTAAAAAAAACTCGTAAAATGCGGCAAAACCATCGCCGATTCGTGTCGCGACAGGATTGGTCGAATGTGGACCGATAGTGGACGAGCAGCCGAACTACTTACAATCTAGAGAGTTTAGGCGGGTAAGTTGAGTTTACTATAGTCTGTACAGTATATAAATTAAATATTGAAAGTCTAATACAGTACTGTGGTGTTATACATTTCTTGTGAAAGAAATATTTTTTATTCAACGGTCATAAAAATTATTTCTATTACTGATGACTCCAAAGTTCAACGAATTTTTCGCAGAAAAATAACTTATCAGAAAGTGCGTCCGCCGTTTGGTGCGCTGCTCCGCAACGAAAACAAGCTTAAGCAATGGCGTCGTCGAACGGTGCACATTCGGTAAGTAATCCTACAATTTTTTGTTTATAGCAAAGTTTATACTAATTATTCCTATTCTATTTGACCTCATTTCACTCGATCGTAGTTTCGTTTCTCGCTTTGTTATCGCACGCTTTATTAAGTGTGATTTTTCGATTAAATTGTTATTTTGTCATAATTGTTTACAAATTTAATCGATGGAGACTACAAATTTACTGTTGGCGCCCGTTTTGGACCCAGTGGAGGAAATTATTCCCTCCAACTCAGCCGATTCCAGTGATTCGCTCGAGCTATCAATCCTCAAAGAAGCGGGATCTCAACTTCATAGGATTATGAATCTCATCCCAGAATCTTGCAGCATTAAAATCAAAAGTTTGGAAAGGAAGGAAGCCAGGGAACGGGTCCTGCAGCTACACTCCTGTGTGAGTCAGCTATTTGGGATCCTTCGCAAATTGCGCGCGCACCAGAAACCGGTCTCCAGACAAGACGATGGTGGCAACGCACCACTCTCTTATGCTCACGTAGCGAGTAAAAATATTAATATACGGCCCAGTAACATAACCAGAGTCATAAATCAGACTTTAGACAGGAAACTAAATAGAGAAGGAACGAGCGGCAGCCAGGCGGTTATCCTTTATCCTAAAGAGAATAAGGAGGGAGAAAAAACTGATATGGAAGAAGTTACGAAAGAAATTCGTGAAAACATCCAACCACAACAACTGCACATAGCAGTTAAGGGGATCAGGAGGGTAAAAGCGGAGGGAGTTTGCATCAGAGTGGGAGACGAGACAGACGGGAAAAGACTAAAAGAGGCCATTGAGGCACTCCCAGGAATGAGCGAAAAAATAATTTGTAAAATGTCAGAGGGTAGGAGACCCCGCGTCATCTTACTCGACGTCCCTAACACTGTATCTGACGATGACATCATCCGGGTGATGACTGAACAAAATAAAATATGGAACAACGCCGAAATAGAGGAAGTACAGAACACTAGCAGGGTGAGTGTCACACTAAAAAAAGGAAATAACAAAGAGAACTGTAGACACGTGGTACTATCCGTGTCAGCAAAAACCCGGAACACGCTCATCTCGAAAAGACATATCTCTATTGCCTGGACGAATATTTACGTGGACGATTTTATATCCGTGACCAGGTGCTTCAAATGCACTGGTTTCGGGCATCTGGCACGTGACTGCTCACAAGAACAGAGATGCAGTCACTGCGCTAGACAACATCGCTTCAAGGACTGTGAATCTAGACACAAAACTCCTGTATGCATAAACTGTAAGAAATTTAATCACGGACAACCTGAACATAAAAAGAGGCATATACATCATAACGCATTAAGCAGCACATGTCCGACCTTATTAAAACTAAAGGAACAATCGATAAACACCACTGATTATGGATATTGATCTTTACAACTCGCTAACCTCAAGTACACCCAACAGTCAAGCCACCAATCCCTCACCTGTCAGCACAGAGGCTCTGCTGAACATTCTACAGATAAATACCCAACACAGCAAGGCGGCCAGCTCTCTTCTTATTAAAACTGCGAATGACAGGAAGATTGACATGGTTTTAATCCAAGAGCCGTACGTAATTAAAAATACTATCGTACGTTTCGGGAACTGGAACATTCTCACAGGCAGCAAAGATACTAAGCCGAAAAGCGGCATCGTTGTCTGCAATCCAAATCTGGACATTGCAATGATCCCTCATCTAAGCTCGAGCAGGATTACAACCGCTATACTACACCAAGCTAATCCTATAACTTTTATCAGTGCATACTTTTCTCCGGAAGACAACGACGACGATTGCATAACGGAACTAGCTGAGGTGATCAGAAAAATAGATAACAGAAGGCTGGTCATTGCGGGTGATTTGAATGGGAAATCGGCAATCTGGTTCCATGAAAAGGAGGACAGGAGGGGAAGGTTGATTGCCAATACTATGAGCGAATTTAACCTCATATCTACTAACATGACTACCCACCCCACTTTTTTCACTCCGCATGCCAGAGGCTGGACTGATGTTTGTCTGGTCTCCGAGAATATGTCCCACCTCATCGAGAACTGTGAGACGCTTCTCTGCCCGTCAGCAAGCGATCACAGGTATATTCTTACCCAGATCAGCGAGATCACCAAGTCGAACGACAGGAATCCTTCGTTTCAGACCAAACAAACCAACTGGGACATCTATAGGGAAGAATTCAGTAAGATTTGGCGTATGTATAACTTCCCTCCCATCAACTCCCACGAAGAGTTGGATAACTACGCTAATTTTCTAACCTATGCCCTTAAAACAGCAGGCGAGAAAGCCCTGCGTATAAAAACGACTAAACCGAGAAATACACACTGGTGGACAGAGGCGCTTTCCAAGCGCAAAAGGGAAGTAAATAGGCTTAGGAAAAAATTTATGAAAACAACAATCGAAGGTGAGAGAGACCTCATCAAATCACAATACAAGAACAGTTTGAAAGACTATAAAAAACAAATTAACAAGACCCGCACAAATTCATGGAGAAACTTCTGCACACAGTCCAACAAAAACGGACCTTGGGACCTCCCTTACCACCTCCTTTTCAGCAAACGGAAAAGGACAGCTCTCCCTGACATAATGAAAATGAACGACAACATCGAGGAAACTACCAATTTCGACATAAAAACTAATATCGAGAATATTCTTAATTACCATTTCCCGCAAGACACCGAGGTTGACGACACCGAAATTCACAAAAGGATCCGCTCGAGTACAAACTCGGATATCCAAACAGACAACGATAAACTGTTTACATTTAGGGAGGTGGGGAAGACGATCAGGTCTCTTGCAAATAAAAAATCGGCAGGAGTTGATGGAATCACCGCCGAAATGATTAAAGAGGGTTTCAAAGAGATCCCCTTGGCATTTGTGCACATACTTAACGCCTGCCTCATTTCCGGCTACTTCCCAAATGACTGGAAGATTGGGAACATAAAGCTGATACCGAAAAAGACGAACCCAGATAGGCCAGACCAATACAGGCCCATAAGTCTCCTCCCCGTGATGGGGAAACTTCTTGATGGTCTTCTGATAAATCGCATTCAATGGCACTTATATAACAAAGACAAACTAAATCCAAACCAATTCGGATTCCGGCCTGGAAGCTCCACCACTGATGCTGCACTACGTGTTAGGGATACG